ATCATCGATAGATCACGTGATATTAATAGTTTTCGATTTTTATTCCAGTGATGCGTTATTTTTGATCGCCACTGTATAATGAAAAGAATGCAAAAAATATATGCTGATAAACTACGAACAAACTTCAATTGGATTGCGACATTAAACGTCGCATATATATACACACTGAAAATTAATAAAATTTCGCATGTTACAAAATCGGGATAGCTTGTTGATCACATGATTTTCCATTGTAGGCCGTGTTATGGTAACAAAAGTAATACGCGACTTTTATTTAAATATAGACCCAAACTTCGAAGACAAAATTTTTTTTGCAAATAATAAAATAAAATGACCACCGCACAGTCTGCACAATTATTGGCTTTTTATCATGTCACTGCGATTGAAGATTGGACGTGCTATAATGTAACAAATTATTATAATGCGAAAATGGAGCAAAAAGAAAGAAAGAAAATACTAGACCGTATAAAGAAAGACCTTCAGACGGTGGAAGAATCTAATTTATTTGACATGTTGAGAAAGAGAAAAGCTCGAGAAATCCTCGATGACTGGAAGGTATGCGTTTGTTTGAATTAATTAAAAAAAGCGGAATTGAGGTCATTCTGAACAGTGATGAACTATTCGTTCGACGCTAAGCGCAAGCTGGACTATTCGTCTGCAGTGTTCGACGCTTGGTGCAAGCTGTTTAGATTAGTTTAATTTGTATAGTATTGATGTGGTGTTTCTTACAAGTATTAATTTCTTATTATATTTTTCTAAGAATTGGGTTTCATCGAGGAGTTTAGAAAATGGTTCGGATAATGCATTTGTGAATGTTGGGCATTTGCATGTAAATCAACTAAATCAACTTGCAACTGGAAGTTGCGCGACATTGCATGACAACCGTTGTATGAAGCATCATCGAGATTCGAATAATGAAGAGGAAATACCAAGTACTGAAGAAGTTACGGCTCCATCAAAAAAGGTGAGTTCGAAATTAAAATTCTTCCTAAATTTGTTACATAAATGAAAATAAACCTTTTGGATTTTAGATCAAAACTACTATTGAAGATGGCGAGAGACGAACTCCATCAGAACGAATCGTAGAAGATAAACCATCGGGCTCAGCTGAGGACGTCTCTCCCGTTATCACTCCTCCTCGCAGTCACACTCACACTCCCCCTCCAAGTTATAACAGCATGAATAATTCTTCCGACGATTATAACGAAGTTGAGGATGTATCAACTGAGGCCTTTCCAGTAATATTTTTTTCGTTTCGTTTGTCGTATGATATGCACAAGCTCGTTTCTAATCTGTATTGGGATACTGCATTTCTGCAGGATAAGATAGACGCTTTCTTCCAAAGTCCTCCTGATGTTGTTAAAGATGTCAAAGCAAAGTCCAGAAAGCATAGGTCAATGAAAGATACCAGAAGCAAAATTTCAACCAAGGGTGTTAAACGAAATAAATCAAGAAACCAGAACATTGTTGTTGACGCTAGCCAATCAACCAGTGATGAATTTGAAAATATTGATAAGCCTATCGACAATCCGGTAAAAATTAAGGAAAAGATTATTTTATGAGGTAAATAGAACACACATGATTCTAATATCAAAAGATTAACTACATTAGTACTAATATAAGGCTTCTACGCTAGTTTGATGATGCATACGAAGATATAAGTAGTCTTCAGAGTATCAAAGAATCAAAACAGAAAGAACTGCTCACTAAGAACGAAGTCGAGACGAACTTGCATGTGTTGAAAATAAAGATAGCGTTACAACATTATGACGCTTATTTATCACCTGTTGCAACTTAAATTTTAATAACGTTGCAATTCGTTGCAACATTGTGATACTTATTTGTCACCTGTTGCAATTAATTGAGGCGCTATCTTTAGTTAAAAACCAATCTTAAAAACAGTAAGGCTCTGTATGCTAACCACTTCCGTAAATATTTAAAGAAGAAAAGTGCTTCAGACTTATCATATCGCATTTTACTTGCTAGTCAAGTGATTTGTGCAGATTCGAAAATGGTGAGAACTTTGAAAGTAGATGCATATACCTTTTTTATGGTGAGTAATTTAGTAAATAGTGTTTTGTATTGCTATAGTCCACTTTCAGCAAAGAGTATCAAATTAATATTGTGATCCTATAGGATCTGGCAAAGTATATGAAAGTAACTGCTCCAGACCTTGTCAAAAATAATTGTGATTCCTTCGTTTTGAATTTCATAGACAGTATTACAGATGTCCTAAATAATAGACTTTTACATAATAAAAGTTGAAAAGAATCTAATGAAAAACTAGCAAAAGTTACATTAGGTATACTTGATATCTTGTGAGTATTTCAGTAATAAGAGTCTTAACAATCATATTTACCATTTCTTAAAATTTCTGTTTGAAATTATGTTTAACATTATTCTTTATAGAAGAGATATTTGGAAAAATCCCGTCTTCAGTCCAAAGCTGGTTAAGTCACAAAGTGAAGGGATATATATAACCAATGTAATAGTTCTGATGATTTGAGCATCATTAAAAGATCTTCTAATTGAAAAATCTGGTTATATTTCTACAATTGAGTATCAAAATATAGCTAGCAAAGATCGAAGACGAGTTGAAAAATGACCAGATGTTATGTTCATTGCTAGTTGTAATAATAGGTTATATGAATTAATTTATGGTAAAAGTTCCTGTATTATTTATGACAAACAAAAAAAGGAAAATGATAGAATAAAAACTTAAAGAGAAATGAATAATGAATGTATTAGACTCATAAAGAATACAAGCCTAACAAAGATGATTTTGGTATTATTGGAATCCAAATCACCAGAATTGAGATGCATCTAAATATTTTCATTCAAAGTATGAATAAGATACATTATTTTTATAATTTGTATACAGTTGAAATTCTGATACAGCCAACAGATGGAAATACAGTGTTTAAATTTGTTGAACTTTTATTAATAATATGGGTATGTGAAATGCAATTCTTATATTTCACTTACTTAAAATTAATACATACTTATAATTATAGAATATCTTGCACGTTAATATATCTCTTTTGTATTATGCGCTTTTAACTAGTTCAAGTAGTAATATAGAAAATAGTTTCACAGTATCTTTTCCACCAAGATCATCATTACCATCAAAAATGAAAAAAGAAAGTTTATAAAATTTGAAAAAAAATAATCTAATTGTTATTTGTATTTACTATTTCAATAAAGTGCTCTAGTAGCTGATTATTTTAATATTCTCTATATTTTTTTTCACTTATAGGCTGTAAGAGAAAATCATGTGATTTTTATTTTTGAATATATAAAGCATAAATAATATTATATTATGCAAGCATATAATCTGAAATAGATGATCACAGTGAGACTAATTTATTAAAATAATGCATTAGCGATCTTGAAGTTGAGAATAATAAAATTAAAGCTAAGAATGTTAAGCTTAAAGCTAGAGTTGCAAAATTGAAAGATAAGCAATCACAAAATGAATTAATAAAAAACTTGTTATCTATATCATGAAAAATATGATCATGTATTAATTTGACAAAATTTCTTTAGCATTAGGACATCCCTGCTAAATGATTTTTTCTCATTGATCATTGGTCAAGTGTCATGTGCATTTTTGATCAGAATTTTTTAGCAGATCTTTCATAATATGACTATATTCTTGTAAAATTTTTGAATATGTAAAATTCTCAAAATTTTTTTATTAGTTACCTGTGGTAACAATAACTGGTATACTAATACCATCTTTTTACATATATTACTCAAAGTAACTTAACCAGCTTTCTCATTCTATCAAAATATATGTATAGTGACGTCTTATATCACGAAAACATCCATTATCACTAGAACAAGCAAGTAGTATCCATCCTGAAGTAGAAGATTTGTTAAATAAGGCAGTTGAAAATTATATTAAGCAAAAAGAATATCAGAAGATGAAGCCTATTACTAACAACTGTGAAACTTTATTAAGGCAAAAAAATGAGGAATTGTGTATATCAATGCAGATATTAGAAAAAAAGATTGAAGAGCTTCTTGACTTGCAAAAGCAATATAAGTCTCGTGAGGTAGCCATGACCAAGTCTTTGAAAGAGAGTGGTAAAAAAGTCACCCAATTATCAAATTCAGTAGCTTTTTTTAAAAGTATAATTTCTTATATAAAGAAAGTTATTGTATTGGTAGAAAGATTCATTGACATATTAGAGAATAAATGCCAGTATTTAGAGAATATTATTTCTGTTAAAGATAGAAAAATTATCGCTCTTGTTGATCAGATCCTTTTCAAAATGAAGCATAATAATGTGACTATAAAATCAGAAATATATTCTAGCACTTATGAAAGGAAATTATGGGTAAAGAGGCATAGTGAATCTGAATATCAGGAAAAAATATACATTTTGTTCTTAAACTTAAGAAATTCTACTCATTTAACTTTAAAGAAGAATCCCAACTCAGTTTAATCACTAATAGATTATCTATCGACTTAATGAAATCAAAGACTACAAAATTTTTATCTCGTAAATGCTTATTAATAATCTTAGATGTTTTTTATGGATCATCTATATATTAATACATAACTCTATAGATATTGTCTTAGCTATTACTATCTCAAAATATGACTAAATGCGAGATATTTTCGCGAATTATCTTCAGTACAGCTTGATATTTCTGAATTACATATATAGGAGATATATTTTGATGCCATTCACTAATGAAGTAAGGACTATATGTTCTTGTACTTTTTTTCGATTCAGCATAAAGATCTTTAAAAACAACAACAGTGCTTCTTTTTAGAAAAAATTTGCTTATATCTGGAATCTTTTTCGCCTTTATTATTTGAAATATAATATTCTCTCAATATAATATAGGACTATTCGCAAAAATGTGAATAGCATTTTTTACTAATTTTCATTTAGGTTCAGCATGCTTTCTAACTAAAATAAGATCATCATTTTTAATATATTTATTTCTCTTCTTACCTTTAAACATGTGTTGGAGTTTGTTGCCTAAAATAAGATTATAATCATATTAGTTTTTCTACTATGTAAGCTTCCAGTAACTAGAAGGCAAAAAGGCCAATCTGGACTATATTTATTGCCTTTCATTTGCTCTAAAGATTTTCTAGGAATCTTGTCAACATTATATACAAAGAATTCTATATATTATTATACATCAAAATGAATTTCTTAATAAATTTCTGAGACTGCAGGTTTTACAAATTCTTGGTAATCTTAAATCTTGATCGTTACCATCAGTATTATTTTTTTATTACATGAGCTTTCAAGGATTAGGTTTCATTTTATCTAAGAATCCTTTCTCGATTAGAGTATGTCTAATATGAGACAGGAGATCAACTGTATAAGAAACTTCAATAAGGTATATTTCTTGATTCTTGCAAGTATCCCGCTTCTTCTGATCATACTGTCTTTATGTTTCTAAACTTCTACTCTCCTGATAATACAAACTATTATGATAATAATATTAAGATCCTAGTATTCAAATGTAAGATGTAATTCCTCATTATATCCATTAAAATGCATCCCATCCAAAAAATTAGGCCTACATAGTAGAAATTTCTTACCTAACAGATCCTCAAAAATGTAACATACATTTTTTTCAGTAGTGTGATGGCATAGAGAGCACCATTCGAATTTTTTCATGATGTATTTTAATGAATACTTCTATTAATACACATCATTTTCATAGGACTAAAAATAAATATTATGACCATTTACTCATCCAGTTATTTTTAAATATTGGCCATCACGTTTTTTAGCATATTGATGAGTTTCAGTTAAATTATCATTAGCAATTTAAATATAATGAACAAATTCAGTAAGATGATATTTTTGCATAAATCTATCAGATGGATACTCGATTTTATCAGGTTTCTCAATCACTTGAAGCTCCTCATATTTAAAGAATCATTTAGGGTTTCATTTTATCAAGTAAGCAGTTGATTCAATAAGCTCATCTTTAAGATAATATAACAGTTGTGAAGAATTCCTTTCAATAACAACTCTTTTGATCTTGTAAATACGCAACAACCAGTATAGATTAATTGCTCAATATCTGTGATCACCTTTTAGCTCACCCAGTTTTAATAAATATCTAACCACCATACCCTTCTTTAACTTTATCTCTTTATACCTTCCAATTGCTCACTTAGCTTTACTAGAGGATTTTGATTCAATTTCGTCTAAAGTCATAGTATGAGCTAGTGACATTCTGATAAGACGAGTCCTGCTATTATTCAAAAAATTGATGTACTTTTAAAGAATTTTATTTCAGAGTCTTGAACATTTTCCTTTAGTTAATCGCCCTTCTATAGTGTATTAGACCTTATATATTGGTTTGCTAAATTTTTCTTGAATGCTTTAATAAAAACTAAGCTCTTAATACTATAAAGATTAACAACACGTATAGTGACATTATCCTATTACATTTCTTGTAAAAATGCATCTCAGAATAAAGCATCACTATCAGTCATTAACAATATTGATCATGTGAGAGGATTAGAAGAATCCTCATATATTTCTTTGATTACGATCCAGATTTCTAAACTATTTCT